CCAGAGAAGCTGTGGCTGCCCCATCCCTGGAAGTGTCCAAGGCCAGGTTGAATGGGCCTCTGAGCATCATGATCTTGTGGAAGCTGTCCCAGCCAATTGCATGGGGGCTGGAACTAGATGATCTTTATGACCCCTTGCAACCCAGACCATTCTATAATTCTATAATTCTATAATCCTGTGGGAGGTACCTCTCTCCCACAGTAGTTCTATTGAACACGGAAGATCTGGCTTTTGTTGTATCATCAGAAAAACAGATTTGGTTTATTTATCCCATGTAGCTGTGATGAAACCCAGATCTACTCAGCTGGTACTATTAGTCAGTCTAAATTACATTATTTACCTTATTACCCTCAAGTGATCAAGCGAGCTATTATCTGAAACTGTAGTGGAAGGGAAGTTTTTCAAACAATAAGAAAGTCTCCCTACTGTCTTCTCACATGTATCTCCCAGAGAGAAATGCTGGCACACAGCAGGAGCTTGAGCATCTCCCTTTCCTGAGCAGGAGTTAGGAGTGTCTCACTTTCAGCTGATGGATCTCATGGTCTTCATCCTTAGATATATAGCCTCAATCAGTGGTGGTATTTAATCTACACCACATTCTTTACTGAACTGGTTCTGGCTGAGCTGGAGTTCATTTCCCCACAGCAGCCCTCACAGTGCTGTGCTTTGCATTGGCAGTTGGAAGGGTGTTGATAACACACCAGTGTTTTGGCTACTGCTGAGCAGGGCTTGGCACAGCATCAGCACTGTCCCATTCCATCCTCAGTTGAGGGCAAGATCCTGGGAGGAAACCCAAGTAGGCCAGTGGCCCAAGCTGACCACAGGGATATTCCAGAGCACATGAGGTCAGCTCAGATATAAAAGCTGGGGCACGGAGCAGGAAGGCAGGCACTCCTTGTCTCCAGGGGCTGCCTGCTGAGGAACTGCTTCCCGTGCTGAAGCCCTCCCTGCTTCTCGGGAGTGGCTGGGCAGCTGCTCGTGGGAAGGAGAGAACAAACTGTGTTGTCTTTCACTTTGCTTTTGCATGTGCAGGTGTCCACTTTGCTTTTGCTTTACATGAACTGCCTTATCCCAACCCACGAGGTGTCTTCCCCCTTACTCTCTCCCCTGTCTGGCTGGGAAGGGGAGTGATGGAATGGCTGGGTGGGCACCTGGCATCCAGCCAAGGTCAACCCACCACAATTATGCATTGGAACTTTTAAAGTAAAATAAAAGAAAGTTCCTACTGCTGTGACAAGCCTGATATATCTGGCTCTTTGGCAGGAGGAAGAGTCTGAATATGATCTCAGCCCCTTCCCCTGCACTGACTCTCTTCTTCCATGAAGAACAAGAGTGTGTGTCTCTCTTGCACTAAGGGCACAGCACTGAACACCGTACTTCAGGTGTGACCTCAACGGTGTTGAGCAGAGGGGAAGGATCACTGCCCTTGACCTCTTGGCATTACTTTGCCTAATGCATCCCAGGATACTCTTAGCTTTCTATGTGGCATTGGCTCCTGAATCAAATAGCAGCAAATTAAAAGAATATTGAATTATTGCATTCTTTATTCCATAGCCAAGAAGGACTGTAGTGTCACCAGTGGGATGGTTTTTTCCTCCTTTTTTATTTTTGTGTGAATACTCAGGGTTATTTTATGTTTCAAACAGCCTTTTTGCCAGCACTTATTTCTATTTGGCTAACTTAGTTATGCAATTGCTTCAGTCTAATAAACCTTCCCCATCATGGTTTTATTTCTTTTGGACTGAAAACATGCAAATGTGCAAAGGAAAACCTAAATAAATAAAATTTAATGAAAAATTCTTTCATTGATAGCTAGACAATTTGTTCTAAAAAACACACAAAACATTTGGCTTGTCATAAACACAAGATCATTAAGTGTTTCTGCTGTTGCAGCTGGGACAGCTCTGATCCCAAACCAAGTTAAAGGGTCAGTCAGTTTCTTAAATAACTTCACACATAAAACTAAAAATAACTAAAAATAAGTTCAGAGCAAGAGAAGACCCGGCAAGATCTGAAGCATGATACATATTATTCTTACAAGCCTGGGGATGTCACCAACAGCTACAAATCGGCTGGGCTGTTTGAGTGTCTCCACTCAAAGTGCTCTATAAAGTATTGTGTGAGGGCTGAGTGAAATCAGTGTGGGAGGATACTTGAAGCACTGTGATCTAAGTTAAGGTAGTGGACCAAGTCTGGACATAAACACAGAAGAGCAAGGGGGAGTCAGAGGGCTAACATGTATCTTGAATTTTCATCACCTTTCAGATCTCAGTCTGTTCACTCAAGGATTCATACCTAGCTGTGACAGAGGATGAAGACTAGGCTATTAAGATAAGAAGAAATTGGAATAACGTGTCACAATGGTTCCATCAATTTGGCACTGTGGTTAAATCTCCCAATTAAGAGAGAGCATGGGACATTGTGGCTGAACTAGACCAGGGCAAAGCTGAGCTACTGCTAGCACATTAAGCTTGAGGGATCAAAGTGAAATTGAGAGTTAGCACTGATGTGTAAAAGTGGATGTCAAAAACAGATTTGCCAAGGGAAGTAATTTAACAAAGGTGGATCAAGACAGGACCTGGAAATAGGGAGAATTCATTTGTCCTTGTCTATGGAAGTATTCGGTCTTTCTCTACTTATTGTGTCACTTTAAAACTCAATTATTTTAATGATCACTTTCAAACCCACCTGATGGGTGATGTATCAAACAGAGATGTCATAATTTCATAGCTAAGAATTACAGGAAACTTTAGTGCTGACAGAGAAAACCTAGACTGATCTTTTTCCAAAGGGTGTTTTAAGGGTAGTCCATCAAGCCTCCCCCCAGTATCTCACTTCATTTCTTCCAGGTGCCTGTTCTACAGTGAGTTGCGAGGCATGGAACAAGGGAAAGAGGTCTGCATAAAGAAGTCCCATTTGCCTCAGGAATAAACCTCCATGCTCTATAATCAGCTGAATAGCACAAATCAGAACATGGGATAGCATGGGTAAACCTGACCAATACTTAGGACACATGCATAGACCACACTATGCATAAGGCTGAAGTGAATGGGACTGTCTTTCATTTGTCTAGATTATATGTCTGTCATAATATCTGTCATGAATGCTGTTCTATGCTCCACAAATTTTGTTTGGTCTTCTAATGTTGTTATCTGTTTTATTGCAATTGTATTCCTTGAGAGTGGTTTCTGAGATCTGAAAATAGTGCAAGAAGATAACATCATAGTCAAACTTGGTTTGTCCAAGGACCGGGCAGTAAAAGGTACTGAAAAGGGGCCAGACAAGAGGAATCTGTGTGATATTTGGAGTTTTGTGAAAAAGATTAGTGTGAAAGTTCAGCTAAAGCATTCTGGTGAATTGAGTTATCATACACTGGCCAAAGTAATCAGATAATTTAAGATTAATGGAACAGGACACAGATTGAGTTCTAAGACTCAGAGAGAGTCAGTCGCAGTTGTTACACTCCGGATTAAGTTATAAAACTCCCAGAATGGTTACATTTTTATTTAAGACTTTTTAACAGACTTCTGGTTTGCTATAACCTCTAAATAGCATTCAGAGAAAGAGACATACACTCTTCTCTAAGAGAAATTCTTTTTAGTTTAGTGAGAAAAAGAAGATATTTTGGCAAAAGGTTTTTACAGGAGTAAAATACAATCATGAAAACAGTATTTCACTAAAACCTTCAGCATGAAGACCTGTTCCACAGCAAACACCCACTAAAAACAATCAGTATACTAGTTTTAGTAAAACATGATTCATTGGTTTTAAGTTACCAACAAGAGAAGGAAAAGAGAAGAAAACAGATTAAAAGGGGTAAAGGAAAGAGAGAAGGAGAGAAAGGAAAGGAAAAAATGGTTACCGACAAAATCTGATGATTCACATGGTGTCAGCTGGAGAGGGAGAAGAGAGAAAGAGAGACCACCTGGAGTCTCCTGTATGTAGAGTGTTCAGTTTTCTCTCCAAGGTAGGATATCACCATTTAGAGCTTTCCAGGACAGAGTGAGTTGTGCTGTAGCCACTCACAAGCTGCAGGGCTGTGGTGTGGGTGGGCTGCCTTCAGCTCTGTCCTGACTGGCAGCCCAGCTACAGGCCCTCAGCTCTGCCAGGTGCCTGCAGGTCCAGGCCCAGCCCTTCCCCACATGCACACACATAGTGAGTTGATTCTGACCCATATCAATAATCCAGTGAGATTCAGATCCAGGATCTCATACCAGTATGAACCAACCCTTCTGAATCATTTAAGAAAGCATAGATGAGGACTGTCCAGTGAAATAATAGTGTTGAACTAGTGAGGGGAGTAATTTAATATTCTTTTTGCAGAATTTCCCCTCTGCCAGGCTTAATCCTCTGTTGCAGTCCGATTTCTCAGCCATACTCTCTGGCACTGCCAAACAGGTTTTACAAGTGAAACTTAACACCATGGGAGACACCACACTGCAAGCGTCCCACTCCCACTTTTCAGTGAAGAACAAAGACCTCCACAGGCTCTACAGTTCCACTCCCTTGGAGCAGCCTGAAGATTGGAAGATCTCTCCTATCCATGCCTTCTCTCTCCATATAACTTCCTTGCCCAATGCCTCTGGAAACTGGAGACAAGTTTCCTACCCCCCTCACAGACAGGATTGAACACACAATGCACAGAGAAGAGCTGAGTTGGCAACTACGAGTAAGGACTACCAAATGCTTTGCTTCTAGCAGCCCTCATCTTAGTAAGGTAAGAACATTTGGCTAATCTTTAAAAATCATAGCACCATACAAATTAATACCGATTGCTGGGGTTAAACACGGCCAGGAAAGAGGGTTAATGGATGTGGGTCATGGCAAAATGTACTGCATCTGTATGAATAGAATAAATGTCAACAAATACACAGTCCTGTACCTGGGCCAGAGTAATGCCATGCAACAGGACAGGTTAGACTATGACTGACTAGAAAATTGCCCTTAGAAAAGCATCTAGAGGTCCTTGTGGACAGCAGGTTGAACAAATGTCAGTAGTTCTACCTCACAACAAAGGCAATCAACTTTATTATAGCTGTATCAGCAAGACTGTAGTTGGCAGGGTGATAGTAGCTCTTCTTCATGTCAGACAGTGGCATGTGTGGTGCTGCTCCCTAAAGGAAGACATGCACAAGTTGAGGGTGGCCTCAACACAAGGCCAGTGACAGGATACAGTCCTGTGGACCTAGACAGGGGTGAGCAGAGCAGAGTGGTGCCAAAACAAGCCAACAATCAGTGCTCCTCAGGAAAAGACAGACTACAAACCGTGTCAAAGGTCAGCTCAGGAAATGCAGAAAGCAATTTGGAAAGACAGCTTGACAGGCACAGAGAGACCCTCGTCAGAGTGTGGGCGTGGAAACCTGAAGCACAGCTTCTCAGAGCAATTAAAGACTATCAGTGCACTCAGTTTCTGGCACTAGCCCTCTGTCTGATACTTGTAGCATCATGGGTGATCATGTTCCCGTGGCTAACAGTTCTGAATTTACTAACCCAGTTGCAGCCATTGTGTCCAACTATCAATGTGATGTAGAGAAGTACAGTGTATAGAAGTGAATTAGTGATATCTGTGGGATACAGATGAAACAGTTTATAGCCATTAATGGATATGACTTAGACACTGCAAAATACTCTACACATCTGTGAAACTTTCTCCTCTTCTTTTCAAATCAGTTTGACTCTCTGAGTGAGCAAAGGCCATAATGTAATTTTCTATTATTTCCTTTCAGTCAAACATCTGACTGCAAGGAATGGTAAAACAGGGACTCTATGCTGAGTTGTAATTTAACTTTTAAGATTGTAGAAAGATTTCTCATGAGATTTACCTCACTAACTTCCAAAATCTAGTCCCATTAGTGATAAGAAGTCAGTCTTTAAATGCTAGCAAATGGTTTAGCCTCCTGGACAATCTGACACACAGATTGGTGTGTTGGCAAGGCCAAAGCCTTCCGTTATCGGAGATGGAATGGGTTATGGATATTGTAACTCACTCTTGTGGTCTTTTCTACCTCTTATACAGGAAGAGATATAAGGACCTGGTAATGAGGATGTTTAGAGATGAGATAGAGTAGTTTTGCTTCAGAAGTCAGGAAGAAACAAAAGAACTGGTGTAACCATGTCAGTCCAGACAGTGAATTGGGATATGCCAGTAGTTCCATCAAGTTAATGTGGGAGAAAGAGCCCAGGAGAGAAAGTTAACATGGATGGGTTAGAACCTATCCTAGTTAGTGCAGAAAGTCTTCATTGCTCCTAACCTAGGAAAAAGATTTGACCAAGATGCCTTTCAGAGCTTAAAAGAGAATTAAGGAAGGAAAATGAAATCAGTCATTTACTTACATTCCTTAGTAGGTCACACCACCTAGAACAAATATCTAAGATCTTTTTAGCTCCATGTACTTGTCTACACTGATTCTGCAAATGAAAAATTTGTATCCAGATTTTCACAAACTTGAATGTGTGTCAGGATATTATGACTTAGGCTGGAAGCTGGAGAAAATTGCTGTTGATCCCTTAGTGTCTTTGTGCTTAAGTGCTTCTGTGATATAAGCTAGGTGGACTAGATCTCTTGAAACACATTAGTGATATCTCTGAGGTGTATTGCTACTTCTTTGACATGAACGAGTTGTGATCTAACTGATGTAACCCAGCACGCTTCAATGTGTGGCAAAGTTGCTGGTCCCTGTAAAATGAAAATAGATGATTTCACTTGAGTGAATGAGAGCCAGACATCCACATTTATGTGTTAGGAGGTTCTTGTTAAATCTTAGGTTCAGATAGTACGGATAATTTACTGCTATCACAACATTCTTACTTTTTTCTCCATCCACACTAAATCTACTTGTTTTTCTTAAGTGTGGATAGAAATTGAACACGAATAAATCAGCCCAGAGGAGACTGTATTTTGTTTTGTGGGGGCTGACAGATGTCAGTGAAATAACAGGTTTGAATGAGATTGAGAAAATGGGTATAAAATGGACAGAACAAACTAAACTAATGATCTAAGAGTTCTGGATATGGGCAAGAAAACAGTAGGGTAGTTGACTGACACGTAAGGGTACTGGATTAGGCTCAGGTCTTCAGACTTGAAACAAAACCTGATGGATTAAAATTGAGCACAAATGGTAATAAGTAGGACCAGGCCAGAGCAGAAAACAAAAAACTATGGATAACACCAGGACACAGTTTTAAGATAATCTCCCAGTTCTTCCTCCCATCAGTACTCAAAAAAGCAAATAATTTTGATTCTAGGGCAGGGAATGTGCACAAGATATCTGGATCTTATTGTTTTTACTCTGATGAAGTAAAATGTCATGTCTATATAATCAAGACAGTCCATTGCTTTCTCTGCACTGATATCAATTACTATGATAGGAGGGCTATGATATTCACTCTGCCTTCTAATTAGGCTGAAATAGGGCTACAATATCCTTACTAAGAGTTTTTTCTCAGAAAACCTTTGTCCCAGGTCACCCATGATTACCTTGGAGTACTTTCAAACATGACTAGACAGGTTATTCCTTGTGAGTGGATCCAAGTTCATCTGTTTTAGGGCAAAGAATCTATTCTGAAAAGGCAAGGGTAAAATTTCAGAGCAAAGAAGTTCGAGATTATAATGGACATCAGAAACCTGTTTCATAACCTTTTCATTATCTAATCAATTAATCCTCTATCTAAACATAATCATCTTCCCTAGAGAGTAGTGTTGACCACAGACAGATAGGCTAGGCAATAGTGTGCCTCAGGTGAGCTAACTCAGATCATCACAGTAAGTTCCACGTCTCATGCCAAGTTACTATGTTACCAGGAGTGGACAAATCTATAATAGTAGTGTCTTTTGTTATGGTTTTGGTTTTGTTTTTTTTTTCCTTTTTTCTTTCATTTTGAATGAGGTCAGGCAATCGCTTGATTTTTGGAATCAAATTTGTATGTAATAGTAAGATTTGCCTAAGTCAGGAAGTGCATTAGGATTCAACACACCAAATCAAAGGGACACTGCAGGTCAGTTTTATCATTTTGTTAAACTGAATGAACTAGGGCAAGGCTGAAGTATAAACTATCATCCATGCTCTCAGTGGAAATCATGCTTGTTTCTCTCCTTCTTAAAAGCTATACTACCTTCAGAAATCTTTGACTTTTAACACCTGAGTGTTAGAGTGTTGGCCCTGTAAGACAAAGGCTTGTGAAGCCTCAGAACCTTTTGAAGGAGAACAAAGACTCCTATCACCATTCAGGTCACTGGGACCTCTCTTGTTTTCCTGGTAACATCTTATGGATGAATATGTTCACGGCCATTTTCCTGATCTGGGCCTACAGAGTTTGGTGAAAGTTTTTTCCACACAGCAAAACATCAGAAGGGTCACACTGAAGGTACACACTGAAAATCACGGATTAGGAACTCCAAAGGATTTTTTTGTATGTGATTATCAACAGAGTACAGCACAGATCATACGGCCTTTTATAGCTCCATTTGCTGAATGAGACCTTTATTTCAGTAAGTTTTAATCCAGTGTGATTTTCTAAGGTGTAAAGAGGAAAAGGAGGAACAAAGGCATGGAAGAGGTATCTCAGTCCACCATGGAACTATAACAGAGTCAGCTGGAGTAGTGGACAACAAAAATTCATGTGGCTTGTGGGGGAAAGGCTAATAGGATTATACAGCACATGTTTGAGATGACTTTGAAGGCTGAGGGTGTCAGTCACAAGGCCACGATGCTTGATGAAATAACAGCTGTCAGTGGTATGGCAATCGTAATTGGAGCAGGATACAGGCATACCTTAAAGTGGATAGGCCAAGTCAGAACAACAAAATATCATAGAGGGAATTTTGGAGCAGTGATTTCAGATCAAAGGCCAGGAATGACACCAGAATCAAATGTATTCACTAGACAAGAAGCTGTTTTGACAGGGTTGGAAAAGGCCACATCAATAGGTTGACTCAGATGTGCTGAACAGAAGTAGAGAAGGAATAAAAAACAGGTAAGGCCAGAATAGAGTTGGTGTGGACGGTGCAGAGAGCAAAGGAAGAGGAATATATCTGATGCCAATGGATAGAGCATAACGGTCGTGCTGGGGTAGCAGTGGATTAGGAGTGCATTAGTTCAGAATAAGTAATTGGCAATGGGGCAAGGGTTCTACATTAATTCAGACAACAGCTGGAGGGGGGACACCAAACTTTCTGGTTTAACCCCAGCTAGCAACCAAGCCACATGCAGCTGCTCACTCAGTTCCCTACCAATGGGATCAGGGAGAGAAAATTAGGGGGGTAAAAGCTGAAAAATTCATGGATTGAGACAAAGACAGTTTAATAGGGAAAGCAGTAGCCCCACACACAAGCAAAACAAAATAAGGAATTCACTCACCCTTTCCCCATGGGCAGGCAGGTGTTCAGCCACCTCCAAGAAAGCTGGTTCTCGTCCCATGAAACGGTGACTTAGGAAGGCAAACACCATCACTCCAAACATCCCTCTATTCCTCCTTCTTCCCCTCACTGTATATACTGAACATGGTGTCATATGGCATGGAATATTCCTTTGGTCAGCTGAGGTCAGCTGTCCCAGCTGTATTTCCTTCCAGCTTCCCTTGCCAGCAGGGTGGTACAAGGAGCAGAAAAGGCCTTTGTTCAGTGTAAGCACTGCCCAGCAGTAACAAAAACATCACTCTCCTAATGTTCACTTGTAGATTCTGGTTTAAAACAGAGAATCAGCACATTGATAGGAGAGGGATAATTTTTAATCTACCTCTTTATGCCCTGGTAATGGTGAGAAAGAGGAAGTTTAGTCAGAGAGTTTCTAGGACACTCATTGCTGTTTTACAGTGGACATACAGGAGGACATTCTCCCCTGCTTCCTCTAGTAGAGTTTACACTGGAGCATGTGTTTTTGAACTTTTGAGCCTGATTCAATAGGAGTGTGATAGCTTTGGTTACAGCAAGTTACACCAGCCAGTAATAATGCAGGTGCCTGTTGGCCCCATGAACCCAATCCAACATCATGACAGCACTTGGAGCTGTTCTGAAGTTTTTGAAAAATCCTAGCTCTCTCCGTCTCTGATGTTACAAGGGTGTAACATCAGAGAGAAGTGTTCTCAGTTTCATCTAGATTTGTATTGATGTCATCCTGCCATTCTCTCAGACAATGAAATATTTGTCTTTGGCATAAAGCTAAGAGCAATTACCTGGAGCTAACAAGGACTTCTGGGACTAGACTGACTCTTGAGATTAAGAACTCTCCTAGCTGCTCGTTGGTCCTCTCCTCAATCCTCTACAGCCCAGTGCCTCCCCTGAGAGGGACTCAGCTAAACACAAAGGCCTACTTAAAACTTGTTGAAACTCTAGTGCCTTGGGATGTATGCATTCAACATCTTAGAAAGAAACTTCATTGTCTTGAGAAGAGGGAAGCAAGGGATGTGAGCAAAGCCACAGGGGAGAACTGGAGAAACTGAAAGGCAGAGGCAAATTCAAGCTATTTTTAATCTCAGTGACTGAACACTGACATGGTGCAATTAGTTCCTGATCTGTCCCAATTAGAGGTCAAACTAATCTGCTTATTAGCACAACAATAATTGTCTTGTTTCAGAGCATATTTGCTGTAAGACCTTTTATTTCCAGGGCTGACGCAACATGTCTCTCTGATGACAAAGAAGGACAGTTCTGCGAGGACTTTGGCAAATAGGCTGTCTGAAAGGCAGTTGCAAAAGAGGGTCTTCAAGGTCATACAATCACAGAATATCCTGAGTTTGAAGGGATTCATGAGGATCATCAAGTCCAGCTCCTGGCCCTGCACAGGATAACCCCAAGAATCATACCATGTGTCTGAGAGTGTTGTTCAAACAACTCTTGAGCTCAGACAGCCTTGGGGCTGTGACCACTGCCCTGGGGAGCCTGTTCCAGCGCTCGACCACCCTCTGGGTGAAGAATCTTTTTCTAATATCCAACCTAAACCTCCCCTGATGCAGCTTTATGCCATTCCCTTGGTTCTATCACTGGTCACCAGAGGGGAGAATTTAGTGCTGCTTCTCCAGTGCCCCTCACAAAGAAGCTGCAGACCACAATGAGGTCTTCCCTGAGTCTCCTCCAGTCTGAAAAGACCAAGTGACCTCAGTCACTCCTTATATGGCTTCCCCTCTACACGTGTCACCATCCTCATGTCCCTCCTCTGCACATTCTCCAATAGCTTTAGATCCTTCTTATATTGTGGCACCCAAAACTGCCCCAACAGAAATGCTTGGCCTGATGTCCCCCGGACACAGTTGGCCCTCCTGGCTGCCAGGGCACTGCTGACTCGTATTCAATTTGCCATTAACCAGGACCTGCCTTTCCACTGTGCTGCTTTCCAACACCTTGTTCCCCAGCCTGTCTGTACATCCTGGGTTGCCCCATCCTGGGTGTAGAATTGGTGCCCTGTTGGAATCCACATGGTTGCTGATTGCCCATCTCTCTGATTTGTCCAGGTCTCTCTGCAGGGCCTCTCTGCCTCCTGGGGAGTTAACAGCTCCTCCCACTTTAGTATCATCTGCAAACCTGCTTACAATCCTTTTGAGTCCTGTGTCCAAGTTGTTCATGAAGATGTTGAAGAGCACTGGGCCTAAAATGGAACCCCATGGAACTCCACTTATGACCAGTCACCAACTTGGTATAAACCCATTTATTCTTTGTGCCTGACTTATGAGCCAATTGCCCACACATCACATGATGTGTTTATCCAGCTCTGGTCTGGACAGTTTGTCCAGAAGGATCCTGTGTGAGGCAATGTCAAAAGCTTTGGTAAATGCAGAAAGATTACATCAACCAGCTTCCCTTGGTCAACTTTGTTGTGAAGGAAAATTAAGTTTGACAAGCGGGACTTTCCCCTCATGAATCTTTGCTGACTGTGACTGATGACCTTCAGGTGTTTTTTAATAACTCCCATGTAATGAGTAGTAGTGGTTTAATTTACTCATCAAATTAGTAATAGTGGCTTACTCATTAAACTGTAGTGCATGTTATATTCTTATATATATATGTCATTATAATCACTGTTCTGTTACGAGTAAGAAACTGTAAGTTGTAGAATGGTTCATTAATCTATCAGCATTGTAAGCTGAAAAAAGCATGAAGTTTGCAGTTCTAAAGCTAGAAAGACAAACCATTGTGCCTTGTTAAGTGAATATTTTTGTATCTTATTTTTCTAAAAAGCTTATTGTCTCACAACACGCAAAAAGTAACAAAAGAAAGGACAAGGATTGAAGAGTCAGGGACTGGAACAATACAGAATATCCAAGATGGACATCTGGAGATGCCTGCACGCTAGGCCTCAAGGTCTAGGGACTGATTGGAACTATGGGAGGAGAAAGCACCTGGCAACTGAAGTGAGAATGCAGAGAGGCCAACCAGAATCAGCCCTGCAAAGCTCAGATCCAATAGAAAAACAACAAGTGACAATGGGAGGGAAACCCATAAGGAAATCAAAGTTACTGATTTTGTTCACTGCACTTGCGCGCCATGAGTGGAGCAGGAGACTCCCCGGCCGCCCAGCATGCTGTTTTGCTTATTTGCATTTTCTATAAATCTTCAATAAATTTTTATTACTATATTTCAACTCAGTTTCATTTTACTTATAACACCCAGAATAGCCTTCTCTATAATTTTTTCAACATCTTATGAAGCATTGAATTTCAAAGTCCTTAAAAATGTGTAAATTTCTTCATGGCACTGTGTTTCATGTCAGGACAGGTCCACTAAGAGTCAATGGGGCCTTGAAACATTAAAAATCTTGTTACGTGCAGTGACACTACAAATGTTTGTAGTAGTTTTACCAGCTAAAGATTGATCCCAGAATAATGCTTATAAGTTGTTTCTAAGTTAAACAAAGTTTTAGTTTTTATTATTAGTTGTGGGTTTTTCTATATGAAAGGAACCCTTTTCCTCCTGTTCAATACATACGTCTGTAGGAAGATTCATAGTTGAAAATTTATTTTGATTAAGCTGAAGTTGCATTATTACGTAAATGTACATGGTGCAAGAAAGAAATTTAATCATCTGGGATTTCTGTGGGGTACAGGATTCAGAGTATATGAATTAACATATTAGAGAAACTAGTGACACCTTTTCTGGCAACCAACTGTGACTGACTCATCAGAGGCCTTTACCCAGAATTCCTGAGGAAGAAGCATCCAGGTCCCTGGCTATAAAGTATGCCTGGTGTCTCTCACTGAGGCTGGGAATGATGTTAGCTTTATGTGGGGGATTTGTGTTTGAGTAACCAGGTGAAGGAGCTCTGGAAAGAGATGAACAGACTACACTGTGAGGCAGGAGGAACAGAAGAGGAACAGGACTAGTGTAGAAAGGGCCATCTGAACTACTCATGTTGGACTGCCTTTACAATTATTGGGGGGAAGAAGCACAACTGCTGTGTAATTCAACATCCTAAACAATCTAATCAGACTTAACATCTGAAACAATTCAATAAACATTGATCTAAAATGCCTATTGCTCTCCACTGATTGTTTAAGTCTAGGATGACTGGTTTGGTTGTCTAAATCTTGCATTTTGAAAGCTGCTTCCATGACTTTTTTTTTCTTCTGAAATCTCATATTTTAATAATAATTGGAGTACTGATACTAGGTAGCAAGTCAATGAATACCCTTCTATCTCTTTACCTTACCATAAAGTTTAAAAAATCTAAAAAAAAAATCAAAAAAACAAGTGTAAGGTTCACTGATATATGGACGTGAGTTCCATAAATTTTCTTTAGCAATTAAACTCTCAGAAGTCCAAGAGGTCTACAGTTTCAAACAAACTTCTTTATAGGAGTAGCATGCATGACACATGTGGTGACAAATCATGTCATTGTCTAGTGGAGTGCTTCAAAGATGATGAAGGGACTGGAGCATCTCTTTTACAGCTGAGGGAGTTGGGTCTGGTCAGCCTCAAGAAGACTGAGAGGGGATCTCATCAATGTATCTGCAGGGACGGTGTCAGAGGATGGACCAGGCTCTGCTCAGTGGTGCCCTGCAACAGGACAAGAAGTATCAGGCAGAAACTGATGCATCGAATCCACCTGAATGTGAATATTCCATCTGAATATGACAAAGAACTTCCTAGGATGCATATTAATAGAAGTGTGTCTTCAGGCTATCAAGTCAAGCCTGGAGAAGGAGATCCCAAGCTTTATGGATGTGGTTGGTCTTTATCACATGATGTTTTGGGCACATAGACACCAGTCATTTGGAATGTGATCTGACTTCAGATCCAGATGTGGGCATTTGCCTGCTGGATGTCTGAATTCCCAACACAGACAAAACAAATCAATCCATGAAGTAAATGGAACCTGGTGACCAAATCTACTACAAAAGTGTATCTGACATCTATAGTCCATAGTGACAGCTTAGACACCAACTTCAAGTGTAGGTATTTGGATATTCTAATGACTAAATAACAATGTTCAGCATAATTTTACATGCCCAGATATTGCATCTGTCCTACAAATGCCATTCCAAAACAATATGAACCTCTTATAGTGATTGTAGCTCCCAGCTGTATGTCAGAAATGTCGTACCTAATCTATTAGGAATCCATGCTTATAATCATTTGATAGATATTGAAACCATCGTTCATAGACTATGCATGATAAGTCCAAGATTAAACCAATTGTTCCCAAAGAACAGAATTTCTAAATTTATTTTAAAATCTCTATCCAACCTTTAATGACTACCACTAAATCACTCCTATTTACCTTTATAGTGAAAGTAAAGATAGAATTAAAACAACAACCCACTCTCTCACTTATAAAAAAAATTAGACACTGAGAAATCTGTCTATGATTGCAAATATCACACCCTTGGATGAACTGGATAGCTACAGAAGAATCTTTTTTAAGTGACACAACAGTATGGATGAAGAACTGCAAGTATCTCAAGGGCAACTTCAGCAGCTTCAAATACTTCATCACTTTTAAGATACTTCTATTTTTTTTTTTTTAATTTTACCTTTAATAAGCAATCTTCATAAAATATTCACAGAACAAAGGTTGAGGAGCACCAGATACACATCTTGAAAAAGGGTCCCAAAATCATTAAAAGCCTGGGTAGTAGAAGGGTATCCTTTAAAAGAAAGAAGCTGCTGGTGAAGCAAGCTGGTGGATTTATTGGTCTGTGGTAAGTTTTGCTTTCCTTTCATCTCAGGACTTTTGGCAACACAATAATGGACTATGTGGGGAAAAAATAATCGGGTGCCTGCAAATGACCTCCAGCAGCTATGGAAGCAGCTATGAGAGCTGTTTGGTGTTCTGGTGAGGCAACTAACTTGCCTTCTCTTCAAATATATGGAAGACAGTTTCCTTTCTTCTTGCTGTTATGAATGGTGCTAATTTGGCTTCTCTAATTTGTGGATTTTTGTATTCAGTGTGGAATTCATTTACCTTCACTAGGCATATTTGAACAGGACTCCAGGTTTGATTTATGATAAGAATCCATTGCTTATAAAAAACACCACCTGGGTACATTTTAAATAGTTTAAAATTTCCTTGCTTGTCTTCTGATCATCACTGCAGAATGGTTTGGGTCTCCTATAGATCCTGAGTCATATCTAATAAATGCCAGTGATTAGTTAAGGTATATAAGAAGAAATTAAAAGCTCATCCTTAAGCCAGTGACTCTCACCTCTATAGTCTCCAAATTCATAGCTGCAGAAGATGGTTCATCTTCTAAAAGAGATACTTACAAGATGTAGAAACCTTTCTTTCTGGAAGAAATTATTTACCTCCATTTCCAATGAAATATTAGACTTATTCTCCCAGACTTCAATGAGTGACCTTTATATCTTTAAATTAGGGAACGCAAATCCTACCTTGTCAGTCATGAAGTGCAAAACTTTATAGTTAGTAAATATATAATATATAATATTATGTCCTAATAACATAACAACCTGTAATAGAAATATTAAAGGCAAAACCCATGTATGAAATAACAGATTTTGATACAAATTCAATACAAAATAGTCTGTTCTTCATATAAAAAGATTTAGCCAAGACTTGGCATAAAACGTTTATAACAATGACTTTAAAATTAAAGAAAGCTCTTTGAGGCAGAAATGCAATTTTGCACACCTTTTTTTTTTTTTTTTCCAATAGCAATCTCAGAACTCATAATCAGTATTCAGTAATTTCCTAGGCTCTGTATTATAACTTGAATTATATCTTCTTCTTTCCCCAAAGAAATTTACTAAACATTTTCAGGAAATAAATGTAAATTGATGAAAATTTATTGTTCTCAGTTTTTCCGGTAAAATCATGATCTTGAACGTTACTCTTTTGTTCAAAATGTCAGAAACATGTAAAACACAATTTTCTGACAAATTAACAAGGAAAAGAAAAAGAAAAAAAGGTTTATTTATTTAAGAATTTCTTCAGTATGTGGAAGAAATTTTCTTTCAAAATCCTAGCGTAGCATCTAACACTCTTTCTTACAGTTCAACATCTCCTCTCTTTCTTTCCTCCCCAAAAGCTGAAGTGTTTTTGGGAATTATCTGGAAATTACTTCTACTGAATAAGAATTTACAGTAAAAAATACTACTACAACCACCTGAAACAATGCAAATATTCTATTTCATTTCCACAATAAATTAATATTTCTCAATTTTTTTTTTTCAGGACCCTTTCCACCTCCTCATTCCTTAAACTATAAATAATAGGATTCAACAAAGGAGTCACCATGGAATAAGGAAGTGAGAGAAATTTATCAACAGATGCAGAATAGGTATATTTTGGCCGCAAATACATGGAGCTTGCTGTACCATAAAAAAGAATCACAACTAAAAGATGTGAGGAGCAAGTGGAAAATGCTTTCTGTTGGCTTTCAGCTGATGACATCTGAAGAATTGTGGAAATTATGTGACTATATGAATAAATGATCAACAAGAAGGGACACAAAATAGCAAAGACAGCCACCACGATGACTTGAATTTCACTTGGGAAAGTGTTACCACAAAGCAGGTCCAAGAGGGGTTCAATCTCACAGAAAAAGACACAGAAGGGTAAGCGGAATGTTATGATGGTGTGCACCAAACCTACGGTAGTTCTGCAAGCGTAAGTCCCAGCAACCAGACTTTTGCAGACTCTACTGTTCATGACAAGAGTGTAATGCAAGGGGTAGCAAATTGCGAGAAAACGGTCAAGTGACATGGCAGCCAAGAGGAAACATTCGGCAACTCCAAAGAAAAGGAAGAAAAACATTTGCATTGCACATCTCGCCTTGGAGATACCTATTGTTCCCACCATCAGATTCTCAAGAATATTTAGAATTATGACTGACAAATAGCACATATCCAAACAGGACAGCTGAGTGAGGAAGAAATACATAGGGGAATGAAGGGTGTTATCACCATTTATTATCAGAGCTATCACTGTGTTAGCCATCAAGGTGAGAATATAAAGAGATAATAAAACTGCAAAGAGCAAAGGATGCAAATGAGAGATTTCAGAAAAACCCAAGAGTCTGAATTCACTCACTTCACTGAGATTCCCAAGAATCATCCCTCTTTGGTACCTAGTAGAACTATTCTCTTCGTTTTAGCACTCAGTAGTTGATGAAGTTGTAAATGAACAGGCAAATTGGCAATCCAAATACCATTGCCTGATTGAATAGGCAAAAAACTGAGGAGAATTTAGAAATTATCAAGATTTTGAAAAGGTCTTCTAAACAGATAAAGTGGTCTTATGCATATATTTTTGTCTCTATTTTTGACTGAGGTTTCTTTTCGTAGCACTGCCTTCAAAGTTTGCATATTCACTAGCATCTTCAATGCTCAGCTACAGTTTTTACCCTGCAGAACAAGAAAACAAAAAAAGACAAATATTTTTTATGGACTAATTAGTTCAAGTTCCAAGAGCATCAGTAGCAACATTTGAGTATAACAAAGATAATTTCTCTGTTAGTTAAGTGATCTACTTTGGAGATGATTGTTGCACGCAAGGTCAGTCAGTCCAAAGCATCTTGTGACTGTACTCATGGCTAGGCTATACAGCAAGAAAAGGGTTAAAGGGCCCTAGGAGACAGGCTTTGCATGCACAAGGATTTACTTGTGGAATACACAGCTTATGGCAGTCATGTATTCTGAAGTTACTTTGTGGGGAGTGTAGTGGAAAAGAGGAAGAAAAAAATCCTAAATCATGAGGTCTCCAGAAAAACATTCTACCCTGAGCATTCTGCAATGAATTGAGAGAGGTGTTTTTCCCCAGCACTAGATCCTATATATATATTTATAAAGTCCACTGAGACTTGCTAGTGCTGATTAGAGCAGGAAGTCATGGTTGTTACTCACAGGTTGGTTACTAAGTGTGGTATACATATATTAGTTGATTCACAGACACCCTTTTTGGTCTGTCCAGTTTTAGATAATTTGCAATACACTTCTATATAAACCTAGATGTTCTTGTGCAACATCAAGAGCTGTCTTTGACCCTGAAGCAATTACTATTACTTCATAATTATCATCAAATTTGTGAGAGAGTAGTCACATAGGCTTGTCATATTTACGCTTTCTCAACAAAATTTGAAGGCGAAACTGAGGAACAGTCCACATTCACATGGTACTATAAATCCTGCTGAGGAAGGCTGCAAGTTACAAGTCATAAGCAAATCACTTCAGTAAAACCGTCTGCCTTGTAAAGGTCTTGGCCAGAGTTAGTCATCTGGAGTACCTTTACAGTCTCTGGGCAGAGTTGGTCACTTCCACAATTTAGATCATCATCTTTACAGTACATCAGAATCAGCTGAAACAAACCATAAAAGTGTCTGTTTTTCTCCATTGATTATAAAAGATATTCAGACCCCTGCACCAAGAATGCAGACACAGAATTATCATCAACTTGGTCATTTAAACCTAGAGGACCTGCATCTTATGACAACCTTGTAGGTATCTGCAGGGAGATGGTAAATTGCACGGCAACATATGAAGACCATGAGTGCACAGAAAGGCCTTAAGGATCCTGCCCTATAGTCTCTAGCCATACATGCTGTCCACAAGCCCATGGTCTTCATTTAAGATCACTTCACCTTATATTGATCCTTAGCAGGAGACCATTGTGTGTTTATAGTAGTGATGCACGTAACAGTTCACCTGAAAAGGCCCAAGTCTTTGCTGTGCTGAACATCCAGGATGGCACTCAGGTCTGGGCTGTGCTCATCCCTTGGCCACAGGTTAAACTCAGCAGCTCATGGTAAGCAGGCAACTTCCACTCTTAGTGGTGACACCACCACCTGCATGGCCTGGCCTGAGTCTGGAAGTGAAACAAGTTCTCATGAGAACATCCTTTAAGAATAAAGTTGTTTTATTATAGGAGAATTATATAAAAGATTGAGTGACCAAAAGGGAGAGCTACCTCTATGGGCAGGATCTACGCAGCACACTGTGGGAAAATTCATCCCCTTCTGCATGAGAGCAGAGTTCCCAGCAGCGGAAGGGATGTAAGATTTTTTCGCTACTCATCTTGATTTTTATTATATCTTATTAAAAAAATCTTTTTTATTTAGCTATTTGTTGTGGTCTTATTATGTGGTTTCTTATTTAGATCCACTAGCAACCCTGCATCAGCTGTCTTAGCACAATGTCCCTTTAAATACCAAAGAGACAACTTCTATCTTCCATAGTCAGAGGTAAAGCAGCGTGACTAAGTCTGTTAACTGGCATGATGTCATTTCGATCAGACATTATCACTGAAGCAGTCCCCAGCTAAACTTGGATCAGAGTAAATCTGGATTGAGATTTGACTATCCCCAGGTCTGACTCTGACAGACACGTACTGTGGCTTTTCAGACAAATCGCATGATGGAGAACAGCTTCCCCTTCTCCTCCTGGCCCCTCCCCAGCCCCTCTGATCAGAAAAGGGCCCAGGTGATGGACTTAGATCTTTTTTTAATAGATACTGTTTATTTTAATGAGTACAGAAACCTTCCACTCTTAATGTTCAGAGATTTTTGACCAAAGTTCAGCCAATTCCAGAAATCTGGGGATATATTTGATTAAAAGGGGAATTACTCACTGATATCCACACTGGCAGTGTTGATCTCTCATTGAAACTGATCCTATTTCACCTGGCCTTAGAACTGTCTTTGTCCACTCTTATTTTCAGTCATTGACTGTAGACTGACCTCTGCATTACAGTCATCTTCTGTGAACAAGAAAGAGAAAGTGATTTTCCAGGGAAGAACCACCTAATGTGATGTAGGTGTCCTCTGGACATAATAAGATAAGTGACAACTACAAAGTGCTGTATCTTTGTTTCATTAAACAGAAGGATAGTATGATTCACCCAAATAAAGACAGAAATATCCATAGAGGAATAGAAATATCCAGAGAGGAAAAGTTCTGAGAAATCTGAAGGACCTATCTGACTTGGCATGATGTGTTCTCTCAGGGGACACCTCTCCCACACCATTAATTAAAGAGTATAAAGCCAGAGTTAGACATGAGCAATGCACATGTTCTTTCCTCCTGCAAAACCCTGAAAACTTTTTTCCTCTGCTTAGTCTATGCAGTTTGTTTCCATACCAAATTTTTATCCCTTAATTTAGACAGGATCAGGCCTAATGCCATGAATGGTCAAAATATAACAGATTAAAATAGATATGCAAGTGCTCCATAGGTCTTTCTTTAGTTTGTTCCAGGAGCTAACAGGAAAACCAGAGAGAGGGCTCTGTCATACCTAAACAATGAGAAAAAAACAACTGACTCCTACAATTGCAAGAAGTCAATACCCAAAAGATTGTTTTCCAGTGGGAACACAGACAAATAGAAATACTTAAGGTTTGTAGTGTGGCTTTTCCAAAATTATTAACCGCAGCCTTCTCCTACTGACAGGTGAGCTACCTTATTTTACTCCATTCTTCTGTCTCTTCTTCTACATGTTATTGTTCTCTGCCACCTACACAGGACTTGTCTTTAAGGGAGACTTACCTGCCTAAGAAGTGAATGGTTTATTGGAATAAAAGATCAATTACAAGAAATTTTTAATTCTTGAAAAAAGCTGCTCCTCCTGAAGAATGCCTGGAACAAATGCAATTTCCTGGGATGCAATCCACATTATTTAGTAGTTTTGTGTGGTACTGTGCAGGGTATACAGGATTATCTGTGTTCAGTAGGTAATTCTTTCCTGGAATGAACCCCACTCACAGAATGATAGCAAGAGGGGCTCATTGCCAAACGCCCATTCTATCAACAAATTAAAATTTCTGGGTTTTAATGACCAGCCTTCTTTGCTTGGCAGAGGGTTTATAGTTGCAAATCTCTACTGGATAATGGGACAAAAGTCCACTTCAAAAACCGGGGCAGTACAGTATAATCGTCATCCCAAAAGGAAGAGTAAAGTCATAACAAAGATGTATCTTTCTTTTTATTGACTAGAAGTGCAGGACACTCGGTTGGAAAAGCTGTTCTTATTTATCAAAACTGTGAAGGAACACACCTTGTCTTTCTCCACTAAACAATCCTTAGCACTAAAAACACCTAAACACAGCACTTCCTTTTCTGGGATCTTGTCCTATTAGAAAGTAATATATCTAAAGATTCAATTTACTATTTTGTATTTCTTTAGATTAACTAGAAAATGGACATGTAATGACTTCTGCAGTTGAAAGACACCTGAGGGACATGGACAGCAGTAATCACACTGTGGTGACCTATTTTCAATTTTTACCTTTCTCCAGCATTCCAGAGATCCAAGCCTCTCTCTTTTGTCTGCTACTGTTCATGTACCTCAGTACTTTGGCGGGAAACATCCTCATCATTACAATCACTATTGTAGATGCTGCCCTTCACTCTCCCATGTATTTTTTCCTCAAGAACTTTTCCTTCCTGGAGATTGGCTATACCACATCCACCATCCCCAAGATGCTGGTGAACTTTCTCACAAAAAGGAAGAACGTATCCTTTCTGGGCTGTGCCACACAGATGTATGCCTTCTCCCTGCTGGGGATCACAGAATGCTGTTTGTTGGCTGCCATGGCCTATGACCGCTATGTGGCCATATGCCGCCCACTGCACTACATGACCATGATGAGCTGGAACATGTGCTTCCTGCTTTCAACCATGTCTTGGCTTACTGCGGTCTTGGTGACCTTAGTGCAAACAACTTTCATCTTTACCCTTCCATACTGTGGTCCCAATGGGATCAATCACTTCTTTTGTGACCTGCTGCCTCTGCTTAAGTTGGCTTGTGTTCCCACCTACAAAAATGAAATCACTACCTACATAATAGCTGTCCTTTTCATCATGGTCCCCTTCTTATTCATAGTTGTGTCATATGTCCAGATTCTCCACACTGCCTTCAAGATACCATCAGCAAAGGGCAAGAGAAAAGCATTCTCTACCTGCTTTTCTCACCTGGTTGTGGTCACTCGGTTTTACGGATCTGGCACTGTGACCTACTTGAGACCCAAAGCTTCTTATTCAAGCAGCAGTAACAAATTGCTTTCTCTTTCTTACATGCTGATGTCTCCAATGTTGAACCCCTTGATTTACAGCTTGAGGAACAAA